GATCCGAAGAATCTGTTAATACTGATACACAACAAACGTATTCCAATAATAATACAGCGTGATCACTGCTCCCCAACGGAGTTGCGATTGCAGTTGATTCTATCATCAATTCTTCATTTGTCAATACTATATTCAAAGTTGACGAAATGTGGTTGGTTCCAAACCTGTGGGGTTCTATCACATGATTGTACAACGGATGTGACTGGACGAACTGCTTCAACTGTCGTTCAAATGGCGTACCTGATGTAGTCACGTTGTTCAACTTTGGACAGTTGAAGTCACCCATTATCAGAACGTGGAGAACGACTGGAGAACTGTGTTTACTATTTCTGCTGTCCCAAGAGTTACCTTCATTATTTGCGGGCCATCTCCACGATAGTTTGGAGGATGTGGAAGGCGTTTAATGGCCGTGGTAGAGACGTTACGACAGTCTAACAATTATTAAAAGGATCGCCATTCGTAAAAATCATTTTTTCGACAGTTGAATTCATCGGCTTCTGGGAGCTGTGGCACTCCGTGTATAAGAGTTGTCTGCATCGCGTGCACTGTCAGGATTGTTCCGTCGGTATACACGCTCAGTCCAAGGTCTGTCCGGTAAAATACTGGTATTGCTGGACCGATCTGCAATGAGAAAACTAGAAAGAAGAACATTCTCAACGTCTTCTTCACTGGCCAGCGTCACACGAGGTAACCTGAGTTCTCCGATATGTGGTGATGTCGGTTGGCGCCAGAGAGGTGTGAGGCCCACCGGGTTGGCGTCTACACCCATTCGGACACATACCTCAAATCTACGTGTGATATCTGTTTTGTATTTTACAATGGGCAGCTTGGAGTATTCCACACAGAATCAGAACTAGTCTGTCTGCGAGACTAATAGTTTTGCCCGTTTTGTTGCAAGTTTAGCTCACGAGGGATGAAAGGATCGTATACAGTTTGCGCATGGGATACTTCGATCTTGATTTCTTTTCCGCACTTCAATTCACCGCATGCTCCTGGTCCTGTTGTGACCCATGGGGCGGCGATAGTTGACATACTTTGACGACCCATTTCGGATTGACTGTGCACGGTGAGGTTGGCTGCAGCTGACAGAGGTCAAGTGCAATGAAAAGTGCACGTCCTGACCGATCACACGTATGTGGTGATAATCCTCACTGACGCGTAGAGCAATGACACAAGTTAGCTTGCTAATATCGATCGAGTGAACTGGTCGTTGTGGGATAGACGCACGTGTGAGTGATGGTGCAAATGGTACAAAAACTGAATTGCACAAATATGTATGCAGCACACTTAAAATTGGGCGTAGATAGCTCAATTCGGATTTGTTGGATGGAGCATAATATTTCCTTCACAATGATATCACAATATTGACACTTCGAAAGAAAATGAACAACTTCGCATTTGTGAGTATTGGCAAAATATTTGTTACAAATCATGGAAAAGCACGGCGGAATGTATGGTATGGTTTATCTCCGAGAGAGAGATATCGTTAGGTTAATCTCACAGAACTGAGTCGAACGAGCGTAAACTCGTCGATGTACGATGAGCTAAGGTGGAGAAAATCCACTGAAACTGGGAGCGCACAAATTATGCGATCGCACACAGTGTCACAGATCAGGGTGTGTGTTTAATGAAAAGTGTTTATCAGCCCCGGTCTTTTAATATAGCCGTATATCTTAAGAACGGAGTTCATTTTGTGTGAAGCACATTGAAACTGGTTGACTAAAATCAATGAAGCCAAGCGGGTTAATGAATCGGGCACGCCGCTTAAACCTTCTCCAATAAAAATATGTGTTGCTGCATTTGATACCATTAGGAAGATCGCCTCAAATTTTCGTTTATCAACATCAACATTTGTAAAAAATGAAATATTTCATTCCTTGTTGACCTCCGAGACTCGCTTATAACGTCAGGACTAATGATTGTGCTTCGAGACTCAAGCACGGTTGGTTTTGGCTAAACGAATGTAGATCGAGGCTAAATGATTGTGGGTTTTGGCTAAAGCTTGATGAGAAAAGATGTAGGTACCCGTCTTTCAGTGGATTGGTGTTTCGCTAAGACAATTTGGGTAAAATGATGGCATTTCACGAACCAGCAAATCGGGGAACTTTTTATTGCTTGTAACAGTCACTGTACACGATTTGTTTTCGCACAAAAGATGAACTCCGATAAAGTTTAGCAATCACAACAGTATCACTAAACAACACTGTCCGATGTCTGACGATGAGAAGAGTGTTTTGCTAGTGAAAGCTTTTTACTCAAAGAACTGCCATATAGGTGGATGTGGACAAAGTGCACACATTCTTCACAAAGGGTACGAGAACACTTTCGGAGTGCGGGTGGATAGAGAATTGATTTTATCCACAATCAGTTCAATTGCAGATCCCTGATCGGTTTTTAAAGTGTATCTCATATGTGCAAAGGTAGCAGGGATGAAACGTTGTATCGGAAATTCCTTGTTGGATAATTTTAATTGGACGTCAGAATATGTCGCTGATTGACTTAGGAATTGAAAAAGCAAATCAATAGTTCTAATTGATATCAGTCTGATACTTTTGGTAGACTTAAGAGATAGTGAGTCTGAGGAAAGACATTTAGGTATTTATTCAAATTAAATTAAAAATANTTCAGAATGGTGCCGCAGAACCAGGGGAGATGGAAACACCATGAATGACATCAAAGCGACCAGGGTAAAAAGGTGAACTGTCGCGCGCACACACACACATCCGAGAGACTGAAAAATTCGATCTCATTCCAACAACGGCTATCAGTCTACCGTTTGTCGAGTAACGCTTCTTGCTTTGACCCAAAGCGCGTTCACTTTGTTGATATGGTTACCGGAATCCAACAGCATCTGAATTGCACGTTGACTTCTCGACAGCCTCCCACCATGACGCACTCTAGGAGTGAGTGCCATTTGAAAACGGGCGATATCTCTTCCGTGAAGCATATTGGCAAAATATCACAAAACCAATATTAGCTTTAGAGTTGACCCCAAATGTAATATAATGTTGGTTTATTGGCATTAGAAACACATTCAAATCGAATTGAGAATACACTGCACATTTAGGTCTCACAACGTCTGGCTAGGAGAAAGGCTGAAGAGCACACAGAAAGTTTGCTAATTGTCATAGGCATTTTTATCACGTGAAACCTATGCATTATTATTCTGAGTTTTATTTGTAGGACTGCGAGTCATAACCCAATGATTTCGCTCAGTCATGTTTCACGGAATGTTAGCAACCGCCTCAGAATAATAATAATAATAATAATTTACCTTTAATCTTACCTTTTATCATAAACATTAAAAAACAATACGTAGTGCATGCTTTACCAAACCTCATTATGAGCAATGTCTGCTGCAAATAAACAAGCAGTCTAAAATTGATTACCGGCGATTTGTTTTTGTGGAGACCAATGAAACTCGTTCCCCCATTTAAGGCACAAAGCAGTTTGTTCGATGTGACCTCTTATCACTTGCAAAGTATTCGATAAATATCTTTTTAAAAACTGTATTTCCCACATGGTAAACAGTGACATCAGATCGGATAACCAACCAATGTTCATCAAAATACAACTGCACAAGCACAGGCACATAACTCCACATTTCCCATTTCTTCATAAACATTCTTTTTTCCCCATTCTAGTGGGTGCGTTGCACTTTTTCCGTTTGTAAAACAGTTCTCAGAGGTGGATGGCCGAGTACGTACTGTGCTTGCGTTCTGCCATTTGAGGTCCCGGGCTCGATCCCCTGTTGGGTCGATAGATTTGCTTACTACTGATGAGATCTAGTCGGATCCAAACCGCTGTCCAGTCCTTCCCAGCTTTTCAGTTCACGTTTTTTATGCTCCCCGCAAGAGAAAATTTACCACATGTATAAATCACATTCTCCATTTCTCCCATATAACCAATATAACTTGGTGGATAAAACTCTACTGTTCGTACATCGTAGCTGTGTTTATGAAATTGCCAATCGTCAAACATTTATTCCGTTTTGATTCAGCCAACTGTTAAAAATCGTTTCAGCTGTGAGCGATAGTTCGGAATGAACTAGTAGTGATTTTGGGGAAATTCGTGAAACTGCATCCATTTTCTCAACTAGGGTTGCTGTCCCAAAACCTCTTAGTTGTGATTCCAATCATTGATCGTATTCGAGATTATCATGTTGTTGGTGGGGTTTGTTGGTGCGACGACTGATGATGGACATAGACAGTTGTGTATGGTCATATCGCTTAGTCTACTCCAAAACATATCCGACTGTAAATAAAGTTGACGCCAGACATATAACATTAGATGGATCTTTGGTAGTTACTAGTGAATCTAACGAGATACCGTGCATTAAGCCTGACATTTGTCTAATGGTTTGTTTACTGTGAAGGTTTACTGAAGCGCACAGCTAGAATTAGACAGAAAAGTAATTGTTAAATATGTAGTTTTTAATTCTAGGCAGGTATTTGAAACGCCTCATAGTAGTTTTTATTGAAAATTAGTAGAAACACCAGTTCTCTGCATAAATGCTACCAGACGACTAAAACTGATTGTATTTACTATTCTAGGGCAATATATGATATCAGTCGAGTAAAATTGAGTCCGGTGTACACTGTCGATCACGTGTTTATATACTTAGGCAGTTTGGTTGAGTAATCGATTGGTTTAAATCCGGATTGACTGAACGCATGGAATTAAATGGTTCTCTATGAGAACATTCAGTCGTATGCCCTATCATCCTTCAAATCAAATCTTTTCTTGGTAGTTCACCGTGTCTAACATCATTTCATTGTCTCATTTTTCTCCTCATCAGAGGCTCTATAGAATGGCATTTCTTTATGTTTTCATCCATAAACGCTCTATTGGTATTTCATATCAAAATGTACGTGATTTATTGTATTGTGGTCTCTCATGCCTAATCCCTTCTTGCTCTGTTGTACCTTGTGTTTGTCCACCCATTCACCTCGCGCCCCCATCACCACCACCTCCATCGCCAACTCTGTTCTCTGCATCACATGCACTACCGACCACGCCGGGTATCAGATATCCCACAATGGGATTCATGTCAGTTTGGCTCAAATTACAAAGGTATCTGGGAGTTATTTGACCTTCACGTTCTCACGGACGGGCGAAGAATCAGTACCGGGGATGCAGCGAAAAATTTGGTTCAAATAGTCGGGAAACACATTCGGTTCTCTTCGACAGACGCTCCCCCAGCCGGGCTAAATGTCACACTGCAATGCGTGCACGAGATCAGTGAGACCATTCGTGACTGGTTCATAGTGAGAACAGTGAATCAGTTGAACGGGTGGTAAGTTTTTGCACCGAATAATCAAATAATCGATAGTTTATCCTTTAAATTCCGTGCTCCTGTTTTGTGTCAGGATGAATTCAACTCACTGATAAAACAATACGTTTAAATAGATAAATCTGGTCATGTTCATGCATTTATATTAGTAGTAGAAGACACAGCATAAATATTCATTGTTTTAATAACCTTATAAATATGTATTCACGTTTCATGATAAGTAGTATGTGAATGACTGGTTCGTGACGCCTGTCAGGTATGCATATCTGGTAATCTTTTGTCAGTTTATTCCATACTTGTACCGAGGAAGTGTATTTTCTTCATAATAACCCTGCATATGTATATGAATATCATAGGTGTACATGCTCGTGATAAATATACACGTTAAATAACTTGCAATTAGATAAGTTCTTTTTAAATGACTAGATGAGGTCTCTCCTTGAAGTACATAACCGGCTTTTCGGATGTTCTCGCTTCTCATGTATGCGCATTGGTCAGCATCTTAGGAACTCATTCATTGAAGCCTCGAACGTATATGCTATCAGCAAATGTACAATTTGCTAATGCTGTCAGATACTTCTTCGAACTGATCTTTGTAAATCATTGTTAAGATCAACTCTGTGTATAATATTAAGAACACCAATTTGACGTTAGTGAATGCAAGGTCCGGGACTAATTCTTTCTATTCTTCGTAACAGCGAGTCCTATTTAGTTGGTTTTTGACACAACCTCGATCCCGTATTTGCCCAGTTCGCCTTTGATCGATTCCAGGCTCCCTCCAAAACAGAGCCAAACATCACGCTAGTATGACTTTTACTACTACTATAACACATTGAGTGCTCAATGGTGGCATTGCCTAGGCGGAAACGCAACACTGCAGAAGATTAATTCTGATTGAAGTATTCACTTTGAATTAATCCGTTCGGTTTTCCACGGGCATCGGGTACTAAGGACGAGCGACATACAGGGCAAAATAGCCGTTCAGTGCTCTTTGTCGATCATCACAAATAGTGCCATTGCTTATACATGCATTCAACTGGTGGGGAATTAACGATCTCCCAAGGAGTGAAACCCACACACCCGGAACCATCAGCAGAGCCTAGTGCCAGTCGAACGGATTATTCCTAATTGCTTAAACCATTCGCGTAAAGTGATGGCCGTCGACCCTGTAGCTCAGGGGTAAGGGTTTGAAGTCCCGACCCGAATGTTTGCGGTTCGAGTCCTGACACAAAAAGTAAGCGCATTACTAATGAATCGCAAAATGAACGAACCAACTGTCACCGGTGCTTGTTGTTGGTCATCTCAAATGTCCCCACTGCTTAGTAATTCTGATACATTGTATTTGAATTAATGTCTTCAGGGAATGTCGGGGAATGGAACGTCGTTCACAGGAACAACGGTACACAGCAGTGGGATGAGAATCGAAAACAGTAGAGCACATTTTATTGAACAGTCAGTCCCATGTGCATATTTAGCTGAATTGAAATTTTACTATTCATGTGCCATCGTGTTGAACTAAACGGGAGAGATGTATAACGGTTTGTTTTCACTGGTTGTGTACTTCAAGCAGTGGCGCTTGAACCAAACAGCCCAATAAATTCCCCCAAATGGGAATCTGTGATCAGCACTAAATTACAGTCAATAACTACCAATAAACAATACTGGTCGGTGAAAATCTTTTACCATTGAAGAACAGTCGTCTGCCCGGTCTAGTACACGTTTTCCAATGGACCAGCACAGTGGGATTCGGTAAACAGCGGTTTGTTAGACTGTTTTGTGCTAAATGAAAAAAACAAGGCAAATTTTCATTGATTGTGTGATGTTCAGATGAGAGCCAGTAGGAAAATCGTTATATTTGTTTACTTTGGTAGTCAATTTGTTCCACCAGGAGCTACGTATATATGTATACAGACATATATCGAGTTGTGGTCATGGCGTATGCTGCGCCATATGCTGAAACACGACGCATGTACTCAAAATTGTTTTTATTCGGAAAATGTTATGCTTCCTGTGCACCAATCGTTGTAGTTAGTGGTGACTTGAGACAGAGACTTCAATCATGATAAAGTGCATAATTGTGATGTTGAATTTTGTCTTATCGGGTAGCGTGAAAAAAATAGATTCAGTGATAACAAATCTGCTTAGTTATTTGAATGATATAAAATAAATTGGTGCGAACAGTGTGGACAGGATAACATTCTCCAAAAGTACATTTCTATTATCCTTCATATTTCTACATAATTCTCCGACATTGAAGGTTTTTTGTGCTGCTCTCAACGATTTGATTGACACTTGCAGACTACTGGTTTATTGCTTATTGATAGACAGAGGAAATTTGACTACTTAACGGCGTCCATGAGATACGCGCCCTCAGTGCGGGATAATACAAAAATTATTAGAAAACTGGCAATTAAATTTTAGTGGTCTACTTTTGAAGAACACATTAGGAATAATGCCTAGCAATTCAAACGATTCACCTTTGCATATATTACGTCGTTCTTATAGTATTCTGAGTATTCTTATATGCAATTTGACGAACAATTAACGGAAAACCGACGAATTCCATTTTTACCGACTAGTTAACGTTATTGTCCAAAATAACCGGGGCAAGTTTTGCAATCGAACGGTGGAGAATTATTCCGTTATGTTCCATTTGCCAATCCAATCGGAATGAAATTCATACAGTGCCATACTGGTCGCCGTTTAGCCCCACTCCGTTTCACAAAATATCAAACCCGTTAAAACAAAAGCCGTCATCACTTTATTTTTCTGTCCTATGCGTATTACCGAAAAAGTCAGAAGAAAACAAAACATGGTTCGAGCCCCAACGAGGCCTGCCACAAAACCTATTCACCCTTTTAGCTGGGCGACTGATTCGAAATGTAAGCACCAAGTGGAATGATGTACACGACTCTTGATGTGATAAATTTGCCCGTTTTCATTTGATTTCGACGTGATTGGGCAATAAAATGAACCATTATCGCGCCAACAAAATCAATGCTGTTTATGTGATTGTTCATTCCGCTAGACCGCGAATAATGTTTGTTTGGTTTTCGAAGTTTTACCCATTGTATCGATAAAAGACACATACTTATCAACCACGGAACCAACATTTGAACTAATCTGACCGCCATGTTTCTGCAACTACAAAATTCATTTTCGACTAAATTTATATATGCGTCACTAATGACACCTTGGAAAATCAGATGGTAAACTACTCAAATTCCAGTCTACACGAAGAGCACAGCATGATTTGCATAGGTTTTAGATTCTTATGCAACACGTACGGTGGTTTAATTCCCCGCACATGCTATGCCATTCAAACGGGACATTGCTGTTTTCTTTTTCAAACAGTGTGGATGGATTGATATCGGACATGACTTGAGAATGATGCTATTCACGAACGTCTTAGTTTGTATACCATATCGTCGCCAGCGACCTAGCATTGTAAACTATCTAGAAGTATTCATGGTTATTTATGAATACGGTAAAGGTTATTTTCATTATGCTTTCGAAATATATTAACCGTGTTGAAACTGAGCACAGCTATCACAACAGTAATAATGCCTTCGATCAAATAACCGTTACAGCAACACGGCAAGTTGTCTCAGTGAGACTGATCCATGAAGCCTAGAAAATATCGAAGTACTATAAAAATGAGCAAAGTTAAAAAATCCAATCCGGGTCTCCTCAGTGAAGGTGTTAATCGTGAATCTTGTAAGGCCGGGTTAAGTGTTTTCCTCCCTATCTACGAGAATCGTGTGTCCAGAATCCCAGAATGGACAGAACGGAAGAGATGCACTGCCGACGTGCTCCAACGAAGATGAAACAGCAATATAATGTTATACCCCCTCCATGTAGTCAGATAAGTGTTCGACAAACAGAAAACCAAAGGTAGAACAGTAAAAACACTTAAAAAAGGGAACATGTCAAATTAGTTTGTGTGCCAAATGTCTGACAGAAGTTTTCCGTAGTATCGTTTTCGCCGTTATTGCATTGGACATTCAGCAATAAATAAACAAACCAGCATGTAATTTTTGGTTGAATTAGCTTCGAAAGCAAATGCAACCCACGGTTTAGGAACAGTTCCTTCAATAACACTGCAGACAAAACAAGTAGTCGGAAATGGTGCAGTAAATATGGAATAATTCATTCATGATGGTTACGCGGGGAGAACATACGGATGGCAGTGTGCCGTTCACGCTCATCAAGTGAATTGTCTCGGTTTGATATCAAATCCTTGACACTGATGAGCGACCTGAAGTCCACAGTTGCCTAACCGTGAAGCTCACTGATGTATACGTGTATACTTCAAAATAAGTAGCATATGGAAGACTCGATAAAGTGTCCCAGGAATCAGGTAGACGAGAAAAGCGATGTGCTTAAACTAGCTACATGCATATTCAGAGCATGCTTTTGGCCTACAGAGAGTTAATATCCATTTCTTTTATTCGGTCATGTTGTCTACAGACATTTCATAAATGCCCAAAATTGTGTCGGTCAACGCTTGTTTCCTGTCCCCTTTAATGATTACTGGGGTGTTTCTTCCCAAAAACACTTTAAATTTTAATTTTTTAATAATTCAAATAACGTTTTCCCCCACCTTTTTCACTCCGCTGTCACAGTCGTCCACGAGATTTGTGCTTGGAATTATACCAAAGCGAAGTGCGCAGCAACTTCGTTGAAAAGAACACGAACACCCTGCAGTTTCGGTTATGTAAGTTGATTTGGTTCAACCAGTGATTTTGTTTTCCAGAGCATAACTATTTTCATCACATGAATGTGTAAAGAAAACATCGTATCTGTGTCATAATCTCAAATTACGCATGTGGCCTTACGCACTGGGTTAACCCAACCTGATTCAGGCACTCATACAACAAAACCGGACATTTTGCAGTTGAAGTATCTTAAAAAGGTAAATGTCTTACAAAGTTTTAAACTGTGCAGGATAGGGAAATCGTTCGTATTTTAGGCTACAATGTAGTCATACGTTTTATGCACACCTTGCGGTGAGAGTGATTAAAACTCTGGTTGATATGCACACCATTGATCACAACGTTTATGGTTCTCTACAGCACCTGAGTGCATTAGTCACGAGCCAGAAGTATACATAACAAGTAACACGTAACTTATAAACGAGTAATCGACTGTATACAGAAGGAGCTTCAAATTCAACATTCCCAGGTTTTGGAAAGATGGAAAATACATATTTTCAGTAATTCATAATCTTGCCGTCAAAATGTAAGTGCTGGTAAAACCTAGAGGTGGAAGCATTCGAATTCTGCACCGATTGACGGTTTTCAGTTCCCACGCAAATCATGTGCGCCAGTTCCGACAGATTAATGCTACAGCGATAATGTTTATCTGCGCTGGGGGGTGAGTAGGCAGGGATTCGTGAACCCATGGGATTTGGATAGCTTGGATTGAAAGCTCCTGGGCACATGGTTCTCTGCCAAATTGTTTATTAAAGACCCTGTCTATTACAAACGTATGCATTCTAACATATTCGGAGTGGTTCAAAGGGAACCTCATAAAATAACTGGAGTAATTCACTTGTGTCCACCAAATGGGAAAGCATTGCACACACACACACTCAGTCAGCACAGCAGTAAGAGATAGGTGACTACCCTACAGTGTTGTATAAACGCGTATGAACTCTAGCATTGGAAATCAAGTTGATTCCTGGTAAGAGCGGAACATCAAAACATCACTTGAGTGAGTGGGATGCAGAATATTCAAGGCAGTTTAATGTAGTGTCTCCTCATTCGGGAGAATGCACAATGCATAATATTATGTGAATAAAGGCTTGGCATCTCTAAATTGAAATTGTGAATGGTCGACTAAGTTGGTCAAACGTTCGACTCCGTTCCGATAGAAATACTATTGAAACGTGTTCCGGAGACATTCCAGCCACCCGGAACCCGTTGTTTTCCCGTTCACCGTCAAAAAGGTGTGAGGGAAATGATTGACGTGTTCTCTTTCGGCCAAATTATTGGCAATCCACTATTTGGCTGCGCAGTTGCGCCGTGCAATCACAAACGTTTTACGATCAGTTGACAGAAATCTTCCTGATTAAGTTTACCGAACTCCGTACATGGGTTGTTGTAATACAAAGCCAGTCCTTTTGAGGAAATTGCACACAAACCTTGGTTTGAAAAAAAGTTATGTGATTGACCGGGTGCTCGGATGTTTCCTTTGAGATCCATTTGAATTGTAGACGATGGAACAAAAGTTTCCAACGAATTTCTTGTGCAGAGTCGTTACAATCAAATTTCTACTTGGAAGCATAGTTTTCCCGTAAGGAATTTGAATACAGAAACCAAAAAACAGGTTTGCACAATGTATCCTGGATCATTTCGCTCCATCTGTACACGTGCAAATTGCAGTTTGTGATCATTAATATATGGTCAGTAAATAACAGAATCATAAGCGGAGAATGATTGCGGTCAAAATTACTCACCAAACACATTTGTTACCAAGGTAGCGCCAGAGTGATAAGCCATTCACGATGTTTACATAGTTTGGGATGATCATTTTGAATGGCTAGTGCCTCGGCGTATTTCAGAACCTTGATGTTGTTTGCGTTGTAGAGGATTCTGAACGCATCGCGTAGCATGACACGGTGTTTCATTTCGACTAGGTGTTGATGATTGCCGGGTTACGCGGGTGTTGCTACACCGAACGATTGCATGCGACTGGATTGTTTCCGGAGTCCTATCGTCGAGTACGGGGTGATATCATCTGTGTGCGATGTATTCTTCGCGGTGACATGGGTCCAGAGTAGATGGAGTATTTCCCTC